AAAACCTGAAATACCGGAATTGGATTATAAAAACAATACAGAGCTATTAAACATAAGTTATATAAAGGCTAAAAGCGTATTGTAACAGGTGGTAGAGTCAAATGTCTGTAAATATATAAATTAAACTTCTATTAACATAACTGGTTAACTCTCCTCAACCGTTTGATTAAGTGGCTGTTTCTATGTGGGACAAAAGTCACCGAATACGGGAAAAAGTGTGAAAAAGCGGTTTGTCGAATCCCAGAAAAAGTGTTGCGTGATCACTTGTGATTTGCAGTATTCACATTTCTGCGCTGCTCATAAATTACCATTATTTTGGAGTAAAATCAACTTTAAATCATTGCATGGATGAAAATTGTTTCGATGTGAGTTTATAAACGGATTAGTCATAAACATTTCGGTTGTGCATTTGTAAGGCGCACTGCTGCATTTGAATGAGAGGTTGATTGAATGTCCTTCCCTTCCTTGCATTCTAGGGTGGAAAAGAATTCAGATGCAAAAGAAGTACACCAGAACAGTTGTAGTGCACCGAGACTTCTCTGAAAACGAAAAAAGGCATAATACTCGGGCAGGATATGCATATTTGACATCAGTAGGGCTTAGTGCTGCTGACATGGTTAGGAGGCTAGCTAATTCGGCGAAGGTGCAAACGTGGAGAACCAAAGCGGTCCCTTTGCTAAAATTGCAATTTAAACAAAAAACTAACGTAGTGAACAACGTCCGCGTAAATTTTATGCTGTTCTGCGCAGGTTCTTTAACTTCTGCAGCTTCAGTCACCACCTCGGTCTTTTGTCATGTACGTTAATGGTCCACCAGCCCATCCGTAGATTTATGTCAAAGTTTTCTCAAGACCCATTGACTTTGATAATGCTCTCTTGGAGAACTCGGACGTAACATATGCAGTGGGGGTTAAAATTCGCTTCTAAATGACAGCAACTTTGACCTCGTTGGCCAGATGCCAAGCTTAGGTATTAAAGAGGAAATGTGACCACCACTGGGAGGGTAGCAGGGTCTGGATCTCATCCCGGCATTCCTTTCAACCTCGCGATCTGGAATAGTATGAGGAGGAATCCAAAAGCAACGATATAACTAACTCGAAATTATGCATCTCTGACTCTGGGATTGAGCGTCTCCTTGGTTTTGTGGAGGACCACTCTATGACCAGCTCTGGCTTATGAATGGTTTTTGAAATACCGAGTCAGTTGTGATGGCCGAGGTAGGGCCTGCCAAAGACTATTTATAATGTAATTTAATATCTGTATCAAAATGAGTGAAAACTTCTACAGAAAAAGTAAAACCAGTTTTTAAATACTGCAAATGTATTTTGAGGATTACATTTATCGTAACGAATGGGCGGACGAATAACAACAAATAGCTGTTTGGCTCAAAATTGTCTAGACATCATGTGATGACCGGGGAATTGGTGTTTGTAATTTTAACAAACCACCAAATTCAAGTGATCATGTGCGTGACTGATTTAACCATGTAGATGTCTGGTACATTTAGGCTATGAGCAGGAGATGAATGTAGCAACACCTCCCTTCTTAACAATTAGTACTGATGAGTTGATTAAAATAATACTGCCTTTTTGATATGTTAGGGGCGTTCAAGTAAAACAGGGACATCTTGTTGTCCAAAGGAAAAAAACAGGCAGTATTATGCCTACAGTATGTCTGATATTACGTTTTACGCCCGCCTTAGAGACAACATCGAATACAGACACCGTAAATCAGGATGACAGACAGTACTGATAACGCGAGCGTAGAACTTCGTGTGGTAAGGAACGAAGTTTTTTGTAGCCAAGGCCACAGATATCTCTCCCTGTATACAAATGGCTTAAAGCAAAGCAGTGGGACATTCAGCCGTTCAACAGAGAGCCATCTAAATGCTGTTGGCACTTCAAAGCTGACCGTCAAAATTGACCCATGGACGACATCATCGGCTGAAGGCTACTTGATACACACCTCAGGGTACGATAGTCTGTGAAAAATATTTTGCTATGGGAAAAGTAAATCCAGCACTATCACTCACTAAGAGCCGAAATGAAGCAAGGTATCCTAGAATAATTCGGGCTTATTTATAACCTTTCTGTACCTAAGCTGTTCCTTCGGTGTTACAGGGTTGTCCAAACATAATAGGGGATTATTTTGAATAATGACCACAATTTCCCACCCCAGCTACGTAATCCTTTCTTCTGAAACTCAAAAGATCCTATTTGACTCTCTTGAAATTGAAAGTTTTATTACCTTTCGTTTTTAAGGAAGGTAATCCTGTAACATGGAGGGAGTTCAGTTAAGCATGTATATAATCTAAAAGTCCTCCGCCAAAAGTGAATTAACTGGGAAATATTCTAAGGGGAATATCAATCCGCTTTGGATGGTCAGAGGATGTCCTCCCTGAGTAATCTTGTTATGCTACTAGCAAAATGATGTTATATCCAAATTTGCTACCTTCCTCCTGTTTAATCATATCTTCCAAAGCAACCAATTCTCTATTGGGAAAATTTCTAGCATTTTCGGCCATTTCCCGGCAGCGAAATGACTCCTGTGTGGGTATGTATTAGTACTACCTTACTTGCACAGGCCATTTATTTCATGAAATGAAGCAGACAACTTGTCATCGTGTTCAACAGACTTTTGAAATGCTGAATGGGAGAAGCAAACATTTCGCCTTCATAAATCACTACACGAAACAAGTTTTCTCGTTCACATACAACTCCAGTACCAGAAAAAGCGTAAATCTAGGCTAAATTTTAGCTTCAAGGTACGTCATGATGTTTACTGAAAATTGCAATGATATAATTTAAGGTTTGGCAAGCGTAGGATTGATTTAATAGCAAATACAGTGCCTGAATCTGGTGCATCTCAAATAATCTGATGCTTTGATCGTAATTA